AATCATTTAAATCACTTTAAATCATATAAATCACTTTAAATCATTTAAATCGCAGCTCGCTGTTTCCCCCTTGGTCTAAGCAGATATACCGGAGTAACACTGACAATTTATGTCTAATTGGATTTTGTTGAATCCGGGCTTCTTGAGGTTTTTGCTGTTATAAAGTGTTGAAATACTTCTAACAGACAAATGAAGATTTTTATGTTTGAAAATCATAGGTGATTTATAATTAGGTTCATCATCATCTAAAATATGAGATGTGACTACGAAATAAATGAGCAATAATGCACATTTATATGCTATTATGGAACGTTTTGTGGGACTTTATTTTCTATTACTCTCTCTATTATTGAGCCTTTGTTTTCTTTTATTATTTCACTGATGGTAATCAGAGACGAATCGTTAAAATGAAATCTAATTTTCTTTATTTGTATTTTTCAAGTAGTCCATATCACTACAAAAACTACTTTTCATTTATATTCAACATCCAAAAATTTACAAATAAATCAATACATATATCTACAGATTATACATTTCAATTCAAGCTTTTTTACTAATTTTACAGTGCAAATTTGGAAAAAAATTTAGAAGAGTATCCGTTGGATTAGTAGACGAATCAACAAATCGAATCAATTCGATTTTTGAACAATTATTTCTAGCTTCTTCTTGATATTGAGTGACTATTGTTGAGAGTGGTTCATAGTGAATGAGGAGTTCTACTAAACATGGAAGACGAGTTCGACAAAGAAGTTGTTCAGCATAATCTATATGTATATCGTACAAGATAAGTGTAGCCAAATGAGGAAATTCAATCAAATTTGTTGTTATCGTTGTTTTCTCTTGTTGTTCAAGTTGATTAAATACTTCGAGTGATTTAAGATGAGGTAAAGCTCGAGAAACAAGTCCAAAAAAACTATTTTCAAAAGGTTTAATATCATCGAACAGTAGTAACGTAGTAACATTTAAAAATGTATTTCGATTATCGTCGAAAAGTGGAAAACGATTTGAGATAAAATCAAGACGAGTACCAATAAATGGAAGTGAGAAAATTTGACATTGACCACAATCATTATTAAAATAATCAAGTATACAATCAACAGATTGTTCTCGTTGGACAAAACTTTGACGAATTGTATCGATATCTATATGAGGAGCGCGTGGCACTATTGAACGAATATGAAAATCAAATTGACGTAAATGAGGCATATGAGAAATAATATCTCTTTGTAAATCGAGTCCATCAATAAAGTGATGCGACGCTGATGTATCTACACCAATAGCCAATAATAATGTCAAAAATTCAATAGTTGACAAACGTTGTAAAAGAGGAACAATACATTGTTCATATTGAGGAATATTACGATAACTTGTTATTGTTAATTCTTTCAAATAAGGACAGGATATCTAAATGGAATCAATTTATTGAAATATTAAATTGAAAAGAAATATTTACCGATGTCATTCGTGATATCATATTGCTTTCTCGTATACTGCTATAGACAAGACTCACAGTGAACGAGTACAATTGTGAGCCTAACTGATTGAGTAAATGAATACAATCATCGAAATAACGTAATGTGACACGAATATGAGTAAGATGAGGTGATTGAGGAAAGAACAAATCGTCATCGCTGACTAATCTTGGTAGAACGCAATCTTCATCAAGTTCGAACGAAATAATAGAACGCATAAATCGTGAACACCGAAAATTAGATATGGTTCGACCACGAGCAGTTTTCTCAAAACAAAAAAGTTGAGGTGCTACTGAGAACAGATGTCGATGGTGCATTTCACTAATCATATTGTTACCTGAAAGTATATGATTATCAGCTTTATGAAACAATATTTATAAATTTTACAGATTAAGATAAACTAAAAAAAGCTGTCGTTTAAATTTATTTCACAACTATAATCTTTGTATAAGAATTTCACAGATGTAGAGAGCAATGCTAAAGAACTTTGGTAACTTTCTTCATTCAAACTTTTGTGGAATACAATTCTAACACAGTTCTGTATTAATGATTTTTTCTCAAAAATGTTTCAATTTAAAATCAAATTTTTAAAAGTCTCGAATTATTATTTTTCCATTTTTATCTGAGCAGAAAATAAGTCAGAAGTGACATTTGAATACAGATTAGAAAACCAAAACGAGTAATATAGTTTACCTAATATAAAAGATGTGCCTGTTATACTACATTTCTTGCCAATTATTATTTTTAAATGTGTCAGTTTTGGAAAAGTTCCATCACAGTTTTCTTCAGCAAAGGTACAAATACGTGAGAAATGCTGAAAGGTGAATGCAAGCGATTGAATATTGTTGTAAATACGAGGCAAAACATGTGAATAAAATCGTTCCATAAATTGTTTATGAGGTGATTTATAATAATCAAAAGTTAAATCGATTGAATGACATGTGTCTAGTGCAAGCTGTTCTAAACGATTATTTCCAATGCCAATAATAGAACAAAGCAATAAGACTTGAGGTTTGACTTTATGCATAATAACGAAGATTAATTCGTCGGGCAGATCAAGTAGTTCGATCATATTTTTGTTTCAGAAGAAAAAAAAAAAGGTACATGTGCAGAATGAGTACACCGTCAATACATATATACAAAGACAGAACAGAAAAAATATTTCTTGGATAAGCAGCACACCACTGTTGAATGAAAATGTTGATTTACGATAAGAGATAAAAAAATTACTACCGATAGAATACG